TTCTACGCTGCGTGGAGGTACCAAAATTTTGACTATTTTCATCTCTTAAAAGCTTACCACAAATATTTTGAGGTTATATCAACATCGATGCTGATACTGAATTTCGATGTTCTTGCCTCAAGATACGTGCCATTTCTGCTGCGTGGTCCCTTTAAGATGAAATATTTGTACCAAGATAAAGGCGACGACATTAAGAATTTTTGTAAAAATTTCTCGGAGTATTAACCCCCCAAAATGTCTTGTAAAACCAAGTTATACTTTTTTAATTACTATTGTCCTTCCTTATGTTCGTAAATTAAGCTCGCTTTATGATGTATTGAGCGACAAAGTTAAATTCAAATTAAACCTATACCATCCAGTTTGAAAAGTAAAGATTTATTGATGTTGATTACAAATTTTGCTTTGAGAGCCGAAGTTTTTTCTTGGTACAAGAATCGTATCGAAGGCTGCCACTCGCGGCGTTTTTCCTCTGTACTTTATTACGCTAATTTGAATTGAATTTATGATAATATCTTCCTTAAACTTTGGCAGACCTTAAACCTGGTCTAACATTCACAAACGCGTCCTGATATTTATTTTGGTATTCGACTTTCATCGCGTAACCATGCGTACACCATCAATGAAAAGCATATGCTTCTCTACAGCATTATTTGTCTCTGATTTAGCAGTAAGTTTACTTGAAATGTTATTGTTTCTGTGTAGTATTTAGTGTTAGAAGATGTCAAAATTCATGTTATTAACTTATTCTCCTGCATTATTTCTTGTTATGGAATAGTTAATAAAAATCTTTAAAAATGAATCTCATTTAATACCTTACAATAAAAACCACTCAATTGTTGTTAATATTTTCGCATGCAACACACATGAACAACTGACGGATAAATAAATATGTGAATAAAGAACCGTACATACATGAGCAATTTGCATCTTTTTATTAGGCCTAATATAGTTATAGACGTAATCCAGTTAAAGACTTTGTCTATTTAAAAACAAAGTCCCGTAAAGAATTTGTCCATTAAATACCTATGATAGTTAAATAATAGGAAAATTAGATTATCTACGATAGAAAAATGCATGACCAAGCTACAATGGGGGGAATCCAGCACCGAAAAAACGGAATTGCTTGCCCTCAAAATGAAAACTCCGAAAATGAACATTTTTTTAAACCTTGATGATATTCAAGTTGCAAATATCCCTCCTTCATTAGTTAATGTTTTGAAAAAAAACATAATTCTTCTTATCTAACAATAATCTTCTGTCCCAATACTTGCAGTAAAAACATTCAATTAATGAAGCAAATCCATTATCAATTTCTTCACAAATTTTTTCAATTGAAAAAATAGCCGCTCTTGAAATTGAATCTTTGAAAGCCGCTCATTTCGTTTTCGAACTTTGCAAACCCAAACAAGTACATTTTGTTTGCGTAATATAATTGGAATACTGTGTTTAATCGTTGAAAAACTGCTCCTCTTCGGAAACATATGAAGATTAATTAATCAAATAATCTTTCACCTCTAAAGCACAATTTAATATAGGACTTTTTTAATTAATCGCCATTCCTCCTCATAGAATAACTAACGTTGAATATGATTGAATATAATAACGAATAACTTTAAATTCAAATATCGCCCAAAATTTGCCCCGCGCAAAGTGTTAATGGGGCAGTCTTAATGCAAACAAATCGATCAAATGTATTAGCTATCAGTATTGATTATAATTATTTATCCATCAATAAATACCATTAAAATAACAGTTAACTACAGCACCTATCAGAATACACGATGATTTAGTTCGATATTATTTGATTTTCAGTCGGGAACTTGGTATATTAATTCAAAGAGTTCATACATAATTACAATAATTGCTGAATTCAATTAAACTCAAGTCAATAAATAGTTAAATTTTACTCAAGTCCCAGCTACACATTTTGCTCATCTTGTCCATATTTACGACCTATTTTATCTTACTTATTATTATAATCTTGCTGTACCATAATGACGAATTAACTCACGTGACTTCTGTATGTTCTCTTGATGTCCAATAACAATAAACTTTCCTATCTGACTAATATTTATTATTTATATGCTCACAAATAACCTTTTTTATTTTTCATAGAAATGTTATCATGATGCCCGATATAAAAGAACTTTCTTATCTAACTTATATCCATTATATTGATGCTCAATATTAACGTATTATCTCAGCTGACATTTCTATTTTATCTTGATGTCCAATAATAATGATTTATCGTATTTGAATAATCTATATTATCTCGATGCCCAATTTAATAACATACTATATTATCTGATTAATCAATATTAACTTACCCTCCCATAATAACAAATTAGATGAAACCCGCCCTAGTACGCCGCTAGTGCATGAAGAGCCGTAATAAGCAGGCGCTAGGGTTTGCAACAACTCATCCACGTCCAGTCAGTGCTGCCAGATTTGGGCACTTTACTAAAAATTTAAAAGCGAAGATACTTCAACAAAAATTTCACGTAAATGTTTTGTTATGAAAATGTTTTCCACAAAATATTATACATTTTTTGAAATATTCTTTCAAATTTCTAGGAAAAATTTTCTAAATAAATTTCTAGAATTTTTCATTCAAGCAAACGAACGACATTAATGATTGGGCATTTCATTATGATCCGTCACAGATATGCAGGTCCTTGCACAACAAAGGGTCAGCCAGAATCAGGCTATGCACATCTGGCAAATATCCAAAGCCCTATTTTTTCTGAAAATTTTATTCATAATCTAGTCAGAAGATATTTTATTCAATTATTTGTGTGAGGAGTGAATCGTGGAAACTATGGCTGGGACGCGGCATGTAAGCAGCCCCACGCAGTGTCAAATACCAAGTATGAATTACGCCTATGTATATATTTCAGAAATATATACAGAAGTATATGTTTCTGACGCAAATAATTTGTGCTTCTTCAGATATTAGGAATTCCTAAAACGTTTTTAAATTGAGATGATAGGTCGCTCACGAAAGAAATTTATTATATACTTTGATATTTTCTTAAACTCGACGTTTTGATATTCTAATCTCTTGCGGCAAATCCCAAGCTAGCGTGAGGTCAGTTCTAGAACTAAGACTGAGAATAAAAATTCAATCAACTGACAAAGAAAATTTTCTAATAAACCTCTCAATTTAGTTTTAATATGATACTTTTCTTGTTTCCAAATGTTTACCTAATACGAGAGTTCCAAATGAGCCTTAATTAATGCGATTAAAATTTATATCACACTACAATAGTTAGACAACACGATTATCCGTACCCTTACTTATTTAAATTTTCTCTTGAAATTCAATTAGATTTCCCTGATCTAGTACAGAGTATTACCGGTTTAGCAGAAGCTAAAATACCGGTTTAGCAGAAGCTAAAGTACCGGTTTAGTAGAAGCTAAAATACCGGTTTAGCAGAAGCTAAAGTACCGGCTTAGCAGAAGCTAAAGAACCGGTTTAGTAGAAGCTAAAGTACCGGCTTAGCAGAAGCTAGACCGGTATGGTACTGAGCGACGCCATGTTACTATCAAGCCAGGGGCGGTAGTAGGTGAGGCGCGTGAACACTGCGGGGAGGCCGACGTTCGTGCAGAGCGGGAACCCGAAACTCACCACACCCACCTGGGTGCAGGAGTTGAAGTTGCATGCCACTAAAGGTCCCCCTGAATCTCCCTGTGTGAAAAAAGTAATTAATTAATTGAATTTCGTCAAACCAGGTATAGGAAGAAATTAGTTTTTTGCACTACCGTACCAGAACTTCTCCAAAACAAACAAAGATTCACTACAGGAATGTTACGCTAACCAGAATATAATATTTACTACAACTCTACACTTTAGTTTTGTGCCGTCACTATTCTCGAAATTTTTTTGCGATTTAATTCATGTCACTTAGAAAATGAATGGAGGGCTTTCATTGAATGGAATTGCATCGCTTGAAGAGTGCACATCATATAAGAAAAAGTTTACAAAACAGACAACAACTCCGTTCAAAGTTCTTTATTTACAACCAACTCTACAAAATTCCAAGTCTGCAAATATTCATATAACTACCACGCACATGCACTCATTTTTTTCCGATCAATAACTCATCTAATAGCATCCTTGTAATTAACAATTGAAGTTAATAACGCATACTCATTACTAAAGTATGAACGCGTTCAAGAACAGACTAGATAAAGCTATGGAAAAATATATGTTCAGATTTGAAATGCCTAGCACCATATCGAACCCGGTGCAAGTCTAGTAGCTATTTCAAACTATCGTCAGTCATGAAAAGATCCGGTCAAATGACACGATTTTAGATCTTCTCTGAACAAGGCACGAAAAGTAAAAGAATCGGCGACAGGCCACATCAGGCCACAATTCAGCGCCGAGATCACTATATTATGTTATGTTATGTTATGTTATGTTATGTTATGTTATGTTATGTTATGTTATGTTATGTTATGTTATGTTATGTTATGCGATGACTTCGGTAATTTAAACATTTTTATCATATCAGTTAATATTTCTTGCTCAGACGGTTTAAGCAGAAACTTTTATTATTGTGAGTAATTTATTTTTCCCTCTATAACTGATGAGTCCGATGGAACAGGCTGCATATACAAATCATTCTTTTGAAAATCTGGAAAAGCTTTGAAATAGTTTAATTGACAAAAAAACAGCTGGCACACACATGAAATTTCCTTTCGATAATGGGGCAAATTAGATGCGACAAAAAATTACGTTAGGAAACTTTTAAATGATAATTTTGTTAAGTACTCTATTTATATGATTATTCAGCCAGATATCATTTGATCTTCTATAATATCATTGATCTATATTCTAAACTATTTGAGTTGTCCCGAGTTTGATAACTCACACTTCAATTTTTGAAGTTTGAGTTAGCCAGAATCTTCAAAATTGGTAAACGATGGATGCTATAACAGACTTCAACATGTCAATGTTAATGTTAACATGTTAATGTTAATGTTAATGTTAACATGTTAATGTTAATGTTAATATTAACATGTTAATGTTAATATTAACATGTTAATGTTAATGTTAGCATGTTATAGTAAAATAATTAAAAATTCCCTACATTACACTAGTGTTAAATAATACCAGTGTCCAGGGGCAGCTTGACGGCACTGATGCTGTAGTTGAAAGTGACGGGCTCGCTGAGTTCGAAGATTGCGATGTCGTTGACGTTGATGTGGGGGGAATAGTGTAGGTGCCAGATGACTCTCTTGACGCGGGATACAACGTTGAACGTCTCGTTCTTGGTCTTTAAGTCGTGATCGCCTAAGCTAACCCGGAGTGCATCAATTCCTTTCTTGAATGACCTGCAGTATGGAAAAAAATATAACTCAGTACTTACTGCAGTGAGTGACAGAGAGCGCATTTTCTCAAAATAGACGAACACGTGAAATCACGGACGGACGGACGGACGGACGTGACGAGCACAATGGGGCACTTTTTCCATAAATGAGAAAATGCGCTAAAAATTATTCGACGGTGCAGTAATGTAATGGAAAGTTATAATACAATTAAAACCGATACCTTGCATTCCAGAAGTTATAAAATTTATAGTATTGTCTAAAATTTAGTAATTCAAACTCATTCACTCTCTTTCGTTATTACTATGAAAACACCTTTTTTATTTTTGCATCGTATTTTATAAATAGCAGGAGTACGTAATGTGGTTTCGGTTTTTATTTATTTTGCATAGTCCGGCCAGCCGCCGATCTAACCCGCAGAAATTTAATAGCTTGCTAAGTGAGGATATGTGTAATTTATTAACACACGCAGCAAAGAATACTCTCTGTTGCTCAGCTCATGCAAATACTGGGAAATTATTGAAATTTTCTTCTTCCCAACTTCTGATTTAAAGCTTAGGTGCACATCTCGATCGCCTACAATTACGAAGTGCAAATTTTAAACGTTAACCAATTTCATCAGACGCAATCAATGCAAAATCCGGAGCCATACAATAATCACGAAGCGCATATTTGGATATCTAATTGCATGCATCCTGAATATCTCTTCACGTAAACACATCTCAACCGAAACTAAAAATTAACAAAAATTCAGCTCGGTATTAAATCAATTTTCCCTGGAGGTTGTGCGTAGGGGTGACTTACCCAAAGACGCAATGGGCAGCCGTGAGCACAAACCGGTCGCTGATGAGCGAGCCGCCACAGAAGAACTTTTTGTTGTACACCAGCGCGACCTAAAAATAAATTGTATGTTAATATTAATACCCTTATAAGCACCTAATAACATTGCATTAATGCTACCAAAGCAAGCAGAAACTTGCAGACTAGATACTTTTTATTTGATGTAATAAATACCGCCGCCTTATTAACATTCACTTCATTTTATCTTAGGCGGTTTCTTAAGGGGGAGGTCTACACTAAAATTTTCAGGTTTGGCATTTTCGGTTTTTAGTCTCATCTTAAAGCTGACATTCTGCCCTATCCAATGATACCACTGCGATCCCTGTACGTGAATTTTTACTTACATGACGGCTCTTTAAAGGGGGGCGGGTGGGGGAGTTCCTTCACTAATTAGATACAAGGTGATTAGCTGCTGAGCATTTTAAATATAGTGTCTGACCTCCCCCTTAAAAGAATGTTCAATCCGTAATACTTTATCAGATTTTACTTAAAATGAACCAAAATAAATATACTGGAGTTTTTACATCGTTTCTTGGAGTTAAATTGCATTTTTTGGCATTGCGTATACCACGAAATTTGTCCTGAATTCACTATTTAAGAAAATATCAAGGAACCCTATTAAAGAGAAGAACCGCCTTAATAAAACCTGCTGGTACATCTCACCTGCCAAGGATATTCGTTGACGCGAGTGCCGAATCCGCCTACGACTTTCAAGACAGGTGGTTCGGGCTCTTCGTCGTACTGCCAACACTTGTCCTGTACCCGCAACTCGAAAGCTGAAATACGGTAAAAATAATCAATTTTCATGATAAATGATAATCCGGTGATGGTAAAAATAAAATTGCTTATCCAATACAATTTTTCCTGGTTCATAAATACAGTCGTGCGAGGTGCGCATCAACTGCCGTCGGAATGGCGACGCATAGCTTATACATCTCAGTTGCTGAACACCGCAGCAGGAGCTATCGCTCAAATCTGCCCCTCTTTAACCCTTCTCACTCTGCTGTGCGCCTTCACGCCGAACAGTGGTTCCACCGCTGATGGTTCAGATTTGAGGATTTTTGACTCGCAGCCCGGAAACATTGGCTTAGCAATGCCTACACTTCCTATCCTCTTGAAATTTTCTACAGATAGGTACTCTATGTTCCTTGTTGTTTTTAACGTTACTTGGGTTTTATTCCGTAAGTGTAACCTGGACTTCTCTGCTTTTTGTATATATGTTTTTAATGTCCGAACTGACGATGAAGCTGATCTCCAAAACGTTTTCAATGAAGATACAGTGAATTTAATTGGCGTTTTCTCCGTTTTTAATTCTTGGTGAACTTGCAGTTTAGGCCGATATTTGATATGAGTACTTATGTTCTTCGTAGGCCTGGAAATGTAATTAAGTTCATTTCATTTGCATTTAATTGAAAATCATGCAATGACTTCGCCACATTTTTATTGAATTGCAGCAGTGAATGCCAGAAGCTCGTGTACGAAAAAATTTACATTGATGTCGAAACTAAATTTTAACAGCTTATTACGACACATGTTCGGTGCTATTTTTACTCGTCATTTTCTATCATGGTTCATAAGTTCCTTTCCAATTTGCTGTCAAAATTATTATGTAATTTGTTCATGTACACAAAATATTTTAATGAAAATAAATTTGCGTTTGAATTATGCCCGACATTGAAAACGTGTTGTATTTTTGTAATCAATCAACAATGGCTCGTGCAGGAAATGTAATGTATCGTCGAATATTGTTTGTTGTTTTAGTACAACGCTAATACAAGAATTGCTTCACTATAATCCTGGTAAATAAAAATTGTAATAAGTTAAAATTAGGTTTTTATCATTTAAAGTCGAAAAAACTATCGAAAACTGATATTTCCTCACTAAATATTTTAGTTAAGAGAAAAAACTGAAAAACCAAACTTGCCTCGCTTGAAGCCAGAAACGGCAGGAGTGACATCCAGAGTGTCGTTGAAAATATTTTCTTCTTCATCTTCGTTCCCTTCAGAACCGTCAGGAAAATGACTGATAATCACCTGGAAATCAGATGCTACTATTAAATATCAGGGAAAATGTAATCACTCCTTCAAATTTATACCAAAACGTAAGTCGAAAAGTTACTTTCATTGGCTAATTACAAAACTTTGATTGTCTGTAAAAGTTAGGAATTTTAGTATTATTATTTAAAGTAGTAGGTATCGCCACAGGTTAAGTACGCGAAGTCCATGAGCTCCATAGTAATTTTTCATTTCGTCTTGCACTGTTGATGTTCAAACATCAGAATGTTCGAGTTTGATATTTCCAGACTAAACTTTTACGAAAAGCAAAGTTCGGAAATCAGTAAATAAATTTTATTTAAGATAAAGTACCTGAATGGATCTTTCCAAAATACAAACAACGATGAAAAATATTTGAGCTGAGAAGCGTCTAAGTTACAAAAGTAGATGATCTTCTGCGAATTGTTAGGACTCATAGAGGAGCATTTATCTTCTGTTCAAATCCAAAATGCAGATGAAAAGTTAATCCTTTGGGTACAAATTTATCGGACTGAGAACAGTAAGAGACTCATTGAATTTTGTAGACGCCATAATTTTCTAGTGTGAGACCCTAGAAGTTTCTCACAATTAACAGAATTTTTATAAATGGAGGAAAATATTCCTCAACCAATTACACCAACAAAACAAGAAACCTATAAATGTCTCTACTAAATTACATGATATCATTGAAAAAATTTATCCGCGTGGTGCAGGAAATCCTTAATACTCACTCCAGGAGCAGGCGTTGTAGTTCCTGAAGGATACTTGCCCCTCAGGAGCGTAGTTTGGACCTCTTGCATGTCCAGGGGCTTGGGGGTCCTTGTGTGTTTCGCCACGCTGGCCTCCGTCGTGTTGTGCTCATCGACGCGTTCCGTAGCTTCGTCACTCTCGGATTTCTCTATCATGATGAGAAATTCGATATGAAACATCAATAAGTTAGCGTGTATGTAAATTCTCATAACGCCGAAAAGCAGATATTTGATTTAAATGATCTGCATTACTAAGTGTTCAATACTTTACAGAGAACGAATTTAAAAAATGTTAATGTCACTGTGATGGGCTTGCGCTACCGCGAAAGAATGTGTATAGTGTCCCAAGGTGCTTGGAATTTGCAAAGCCTGCAATAACTTTCACATCATATAGAAATAACTATAAATGCTCTATTGCGATGCCAGTTTAAAAATTCACGGTAACCGTTTCAGAATTTCAAATTTGATTCGCAGCATTTCAAGCATTTGATAGCTAAATAAAGAATGGCACCCAAAAGATGCCAAATTTGAATTGCACGGTTTGAACTTGAAGCAGCTCTATACAAGCGCTTGGTACGTTAGCTCAGTAATCAAAGCTCCATACATACTTCATTACAAGCAACTAAAGCGACTTTCAATATTCTCTCCAGTTTTTATATCACCAGATGACGATTTATAAAATGAATAACTTTTTTACACTATAAACCCAAAAAATTACACTAAAAACCCCAAAAAATCTACCCTAAAACTGCAAAACTAAAACCCCCACTCTCATCCCTACACTCACCTCCTTCATCGTCATCTTTCTCTCCCTCGTCTGCTCTCGGAGCGGTAGTAGTGGGGCCACCCTCTCCCTCATCGTCCCTGACGACGGGGTTAAAGGTCGTAGTCTCAGTCTCATTTGTTTTGCTGTCGTTTCTGAGTATGATTGTAGGTTTATCTACTGCAGGTTCAGGAGGAGGGTTGTACAAGACCGCGTCTTCGTTGCGCACGCCCGAGTAGGTGGGCGCTGAAGTACGAAAAAAATCGTTAGTGGAACGGTTGAAAGTTTCATTATCATTTGATTGTCGGAATCGTAAATTGGGTAAAGATTAATAAACTAAAATGGCATGTTGTGCACTGATCTCTAATCACTTCCGCACTGAATTGAGCTCACAATTATTCGTCAATAATCTCATACACAATGAATAACAACTACATTTATATATCAATGATATNAGCAACAGAATTGAGACAACCTGTCTCTTATACACATCTAGATGTGTATAAGAGACAGGAATAACGTTATAACATAACATCATAAGAATAACATTATAACCTTAACAATGCAGAAGGCATTTGTTCGATACGGAGAGAGTTTTTAGTTTTGTTAATTTAAACAAAAATTTGTGTGAAATCAGATTGAATCGGAACGTTAAAACGGACGATGTAGTAACAATGAGCCAGGAAATAAGCGTGGTAATCTCGTTTAAAGTATCGCTCAACAAACTATAGTTAAATAAAAAATGTAGACCAACATTATGGGAACTTTGTCTATCAGTATTAATGGAATATTCAGCATTTCAGTGCAAAAGTGAGCAACTTTGAGCGATGCTCATCAATGAAATGAGTTCACAGACGGATTCCAGTGTGAAAATATCATTGTTGGACGATTGGATAAAATGTGATAACAGTTACGTGTTATGTTGTTTATTGATTGGAGTTTTTTTTTTATTTTTCACTCTTTTTTTTGCAGCTTTCACTACCAGAACAGATGGCTAATTTACTTCTTGCAATTTAATAAATCAATCTAACTTATTTAAATAGAATAAAAATAAATCCATTCTATTGTAGAACTTTTAAGATATAGCTTATCGTCTCAAATCTGATGGGTGGTTGCAAGAGCATGTCTATTAGCCTAATAGCGTACCCTAGTAAATTGTACTTTAATTTTTTATATATATCCAAATTTCGATTAATATATGTGGTGCCTCTGTGTATCACACAATCTATATGAAAGTAAACTGCAAGTTAGAGACTCGTATTAGCCTGAAAACGTTGATACTTAATAATTTAATCAACGTTTAATTTAATGATTTAATAGTCCAGCAGATCTAAAAATATTGTGGCAACGATTGACAACTCCAGGCCTGATTGCAGAGGAGTCTATTAAGTGATATAAAAGTGCACACACATAAGATTAGCGGCTAAGAAAACATCAACAAAAGAGGCCGAAATAATCTGAAAAATAAACCGAAATAAGGTGGATTTTTATAAATCCACCAGGTGAATTTTTAATTTAATAATCCACCACCCTCAGCAATAAGGTGGATTTTTATAAAATCCAATAATTTATTCGAAATAAGATGGATTTTTAAAGTTCTTTTATACGTCACCTGACCGCGCAGACCGCCCGTCCAAGTTCCACAGTGAGGGGACACAAGACGGCCTCTTCGTTGGGCTTCGGAAAAGACGGATTCTGGAACGTGACTGAATGAGCGCTCGTAGTCGCCCAGCACGTTTTGTCCACTGCAAGAACAGCGTTTCAGATTTTTGGTAGAAGGCTTTATTCGTTGTACGGTTTTTCGTATAATGAATCGCATTAGTGAAGACTTTTCAAAGCAACCTCGAGACGTGTGTGTTTCGCTCAACACGATAAACAGAGCGCAACTTGTTCCAAGAATTTGCGACAATAGAAATCCGTTGTCAAGAAAGAGAGCTAAGAAAGTAGGGTGGAGGTTCACGAAAGTAGAGTGTAGGTTTATGAAAGTATGTTGGAGGTCCATCCAACAAAATAGGGTGGAGGTTTACGATAGTAGGGTGGAGCTTCACGAAAGTAGGGTGAAGGTTTAAGAAAGTAGTGAGGAGGTTTAAGAAAGTATGGTGGGGGGGTAAGAACTTGGGATGAAGGTTTAGGAAAGTAGGGTGGAGGCTTATGAAAATAGGGTGGAGGTTTGAGAAAGTATGGCGGAAGTTTGAGAAAGTAGGGTGGAGGCTTAAAAGTTAAAACTGTGTGAAGCACAATAACACCCGTCTGAATAACGTGCATTAGATATATTGAAGAATTAAACCTTATAAGCTTTGATCGCTGGTGCGAAATCACAATTTGGTCAATTTTGATCCAGAAACAAAACAATTACAGACCACACATGAGCAAATAAAAAACACAGAGAAAGCAACTTCTTGTACCGTCTTTCCACGTTCAACTCGAATGATATGAAATTATTGGGAAATAAATGAGGCTTCATTGACCACGGGATAGGTTATTAGTGGGCCGAAGGCGTTTCTACTTATGTGTTTTATGTTTCTAGATTTGCTAAAAAGTTAGCCTGATTTCTTACAATTAAGTAAAAGTATATTGAAGAGTTGAGGATAACATTAATTGGATCTCATGGCAAAACATTTTTCATGTAAAGAAGTGGATTTAATCTTAAGCTTTATTATTCTTCGTAAGTGGAGAGACGTGTGTTACAAGCGGATTGTTACACACAATTAATGAATGACGTGCGGGTATAATGCACGCATGAAATGATGACTCTATAATCATATCTTTGAACAGCCTCAGCTATAATAATTAAGCTGATGGAATCTGTTGTGAGGGATAGGATTATCGATCACTTGACTGCTCACCATCTCATATCAGATTGTCAACATGGTTTTATTGCCGGTAGATCCTGCACCACTAACTTATTATCTACGTTGAACAAAGACTTTTCAAAGCAACCTCGAGACGTGTGTGTTTCGCTCAACACGATAAACAGAGCGCAACTTGTTCCAGGAATTTGCGGCGATAGAAATCCACAACAAAGAGAGCTAAGAAAGTAGAGTGGAGGTTTACGACAGTAGAGTGGAGGTTCACGAAAGTAGGGTGGAGGTTCACGAAAGCAGGGTGAAGGTTTAAGAAAGTAGGGAGGAGGTTTAAGAAAGTTTGGTGGAGGGGTAAGAAATTAGGATGAAGGTTTATGAAAGTAGGGTGGAGGTTTACGAAATTAGGGTGGAGGTTCACGAAAGTAGGGTGGAGGCTTTAGAAAGTAGGGTGGAGGTTCAAAAATTAAAACTGTGTGAAGCACAATAACACAGTCTGAATAACGTGCATTAGATTAAGTGAAGAATTAAACCTCAAAAGCTTCGATCGTTGGTGCGAAATCATAATTTGGTCAATTTTCCTCCAGAAACTAAACAATTACAGGCCAGACATAAGCAAATAAAAAACACAAACCACGGGACACAAACAAACGTCATTGACCACGGGACAGGTTATTAAAAGATCGAAGGTGCTTCGAGTTATGTGGTCAATTGATTTGCCAGAAATTTAGCCTGAATTTTTTATAATTAAGTAAAAGTATATTGAAGAGTTGAAAATAAGATTAATGGGATCTCATGGCAAAACATTTGTTATGTAAAGCAGCGGATTTAATCTTACGCTTTGTTATTCTTCATACGTTGGGAGACTTACGTGTTGCAAACGGCTTGTTACACATTATTGATAAATTGCGTGCGGGTTAATACGCGCATGAAATAATGACTCTATTATCATATCTTTGCGCAGCCTCGAATATGATAATATTCTGAGAATTGAACGCTATGAACAAAGACACCGAATGAGTATAATAAGCAAAACGCTAGGATCGTGCACTCACTTCTCCCTTATTTGTCATCGGTAATTTTTTTTATCTCACTCGTACACTCATCTATCTTTTATTTTTCTACCAGTAATTGCGCTTATTTTCATCTCACCCATGCAGCAGACTCGGTCGGAGCCACCGCAGTACCCAGCGAAGCGGCCGCCTTGAAGCTGACACTCGACGCCGAACAGACAAGCGCCCTGCGACCCGCCGGCGCTGCACAGCGGGTAAGACACAGCGTCCAGGCGGTTCTCAGTCAGCGGCCGGTCCATCATGTCTGACCGGGACAAAAGTATTCCAGAGATATGATTTCGAAAAAATGACCACTTTTAGCGAATTTTATTTCCGTGAGTTGAAATATTGTATTACAATAACTTCTGCGAGTCAATTAATTTAAGTAAAATTATTTCGGTGATTTAGAATCTTCCCGAGAGTCACACGGTATTTCAACGGGAAGTCCAAGTTTTTCACTGAAATTGTTGACGTGAGCAAGTTTACGGTACTATTTTACTCGTGTTGTTTATAATATCAACAATAAATATATGAGGAGACAACATTGGTATTGGTAATACAAAATGAATCAAGTTACTTGACGAGGAAAAAACCTTATTGGTGCTGCGATATAGTGTTTAAGAACAAAATTTATATGCAAAACTGCAAACTGAATTTCATGGAGGACAATAAATGCCTGCAGTGCTGTTCTTTATGACAATGATGCTGTTTAATGAGAATCTTTTAAAACATATATTCCCAATATCGGCTAGTCTTACTCTCAGGATACAAGTTGAACGAGTTCAAGCTGGAACCATATCTTGATAAGTTATTTCATAATATATTCTGATGCCAAAGGAAATTTTTGAAGGCATTGATTGTGTTCACTAGAGATGTTGACATATATTTCAATTATGCATAATAAAAAAATTAAAGCGTGCATATTCTAGGGTGATTCCGATCGTATGCTTATAAATGAAGCACTAATTTCACAGGTAACGAACATGAACTAGGGGAATGAAGTTCTAATTATTAAATTAAGGAGCATAAACTTGGGGAATCAATTCTTCAGTGAAACCTTTTGCGAAAACCTATTACTGGTCATCGTAGCTCAACTAAACGTAGATCGCACTTGCCGGCATCTTTGGTCATTGCAAAAGTAACTGTAAAACAGGCACACTGTCATTAATGGAATCTAGAACGATAATGGGCAGAAAAAAATATGTAAAATAACGCTAATAGGTATAGATTTTTCGCGTTGGCATCTTCAGGAAGTAGTGATCCCCTTCCCTTAAGGCAAGAAACGTAGAAAAATGTTTAATAAACGTAAATTTAAAATTTAAACATTGATTCTATGTCAAATGTCTGGTGGGCTACATCTTCCAGCAAGTCAGCCACTGTGAAATTCTTATAATAAATCCTGCTGGTACATCTCACCTGCCAAGGATATTCGTTGACGCGAGTGCCGAATCCGCCGATAACTTTCAAGACAGGTGGTTCGGGCTCTTCGTCGTACTGCCAACACTTGTCCTGTACCCGCAAGTCGAAAGCTGAAATACGGTGAGAATTGTAAATTTTCTTGATAAATTATAATCCGGTGACGACAAAAAATGAAACTGCTAATCCAATACCATTTTTTCTTGGTTTATGAATACAGTCGTGCGCGGTGCGCATCAACGGCAGTCGCAATGACGGCGCATAGCTTCTACACCTCGGTTGCTGAACACCGCAGAAGGAGCTATCGCTCAAATCTGCTCCTGTTTAACCCATCTCACTCTGCTGTGCCTTCACACTTGACAGTGTGAGATGACTGTTTCGGAGAACGATTTCAAGATACTCGGGTTCACCTCTGGTGGTTCGGATTTGAGGATTTTTGACTCGCTGCACATTTTTAACCGGAAAAATTTGCTTAGTAATACCTACAGTTCCTATCCTCGTGAAATTTTCTACCAATAGGATTTTATGTGACGGTGTTGGTTTTCCGTTACTTGGGTTTTATTCCTTCCGTGTAACTTTGATTTCCCTGTTTTTTTTTTAATTTTGTTTTTTTAACTGATGATGAAGCTGATCTCCGAAATGTTGTCGATGAAGATACGGTGAATTTAATTGACGTTTTATACGATTTAAATTTTTGCTGCACTTGCGGTTTAAACCGATATTTGATATAAGTAAAAATGTTCTTCATAGGCCTGGAAATGTAATTAAGTTCATTTAATTAAATATCATGCAATGACTTCACCACGTTTCTGCTAAATTGCGGATGTAAATGCCAGAAGGTGATGTACGGTAAAATTTATATTGATGTCGAAACTAAATTTTTACAATTTGTGGTTCATGAAATCAATCAACAATGGCTCGTGCAAGAAAATAAATCTTGGTCGAAAATCGTTTGCTGTTTTAGCACAACGCTGATACATGAAATGCTTTACTAAAATCATTTAAAACAAAAAAGTGTAATAAGGTAAAATTAGGTGTTTTAAATTAAAATCGAAAATACTTTGAAACGATTTCGCTTTGCGACGCATCGTGCTTGTTTCTGCACGGGTCATTGAAAAGAATTCTCTTCACTCTGAAAACTAATTTTCCTCACTTCGTAGGCTGAAAATTCGTTGTGGAACCGAAGAAAGCACGTGAAAACATAAATTGTTCATCAGGTGAATTATACGAGTTTATGTTTTACTATTTTGTAGCAATATGATATTATTAAAAGCAACGTTAGGATTCAAGTACATAGATACCGGGCATAACTACATAGTAGAGTTAATATCCAGTCCAATCATTATAACATGACTTATGGAAAATTACATCAACGCATACGCACAGAGCTAAAAGTCTCAAATTAAGATGAATTGTTGCGGCAATCTGGCTGTCGATTTGTTAATTTAAATTTTAAACCATTCAGTTGGAAAAATTTCAATTTTCAATAGGAAATTCGCGATTTAAAGAAAAAAACTAAACTTGCCTCGTTTGAAGCCAGAAACGGCAGGAGTGACATCCAGAGTGTCGGTGAAAATATTTTCTTCTTCATCTTCGTTTCCTTCAGAACCGTCAGGGAAATGACCGATTATCACCTGGAAATCAAAAGCTATTATTAAATATCAACGGAAATGTAATCACTCCTTGAAATTTATACAAAAGTTTAAGTCGAAAAAATATTTTCATGGACTAATTACAGAACTTAAATTGTCTGTAAAAGTTGGGAATTTTAATATTATTATTTAAAGCCGTGGTATCGACACAGGTTAAGTACGTGAGCTCCATAGTCATGGACTTCCTTCTCTTTAACTTCATTTATTTTTGTTTGTTTGCTTGTCTGCTACAAATCTTATAATCGATATTTAACACACTTCTACCAGTCCAATCGATCTGAAAATTTGCACACTTGCGTAAAGTCGGAGACAACGAATGAATCAATTAACAGATTAGACAATTTTGCAAATTTTAAATTTTTCCTAATATTGAAAAAATTAACAATTTTTTAATATTTGAGCATAGAAATAGAAATTCATTGTACATGTGTAACATCGGAGACACTGGGTTCTATAGATGTGTTGTCCTTAAACAGTAATTTTTAAACGTATATTATTTTATTTTATCTTGCACTGTTAATGTTCAAACATCAGGATGTTCGAGTTTGATTTTAAAAAATAGGAAAACAAAGTTTGGAAATCAGTAAATAATTTTTACTGATTTTTACCAGCTACATAAAAAAATCTATGAACGTCTTTACTAAATTGAATGATATCATTGAAAAAAAATGTCTCCGTGAGGCAGGAAATCCTTAATACTCACGCCAGGAGCAGGCGTTGTAGTTCCTGAAGGATACTTGCCCCTCAGGAGCGTAGTTTGGACCTCTTGCGAGTCCAGGGGCTTTCGGGTCCTTGTGTCTTTCGTCACGCTGGCCTCCGTCGTGCTGTGCTCATCGACGCGTTCCGTAGCTTCGTCACTCTCGGATTTCTCTGTCAAGATGAGAAATTCTATATGAAACATAATTAATTTAATTTTAAACGTTAAAATAAGTAAGTAAATTTTCGTAACGCCTAAAAGCAGATATTTGATTTAAATGATCCGCATTACTAAGTGTTCAATACTTTACAGAGGACGAATTTAAAAAATGTTAATGCCAATGTGATGGGCTGGCGCTACTGCGAAAGAATGTGTATCGTGTCCCAAGGTGCTTGGAATTTGCAAAGCCTTCAAAAACTATCTCTTCATATAGAAATAACTATAAATGATTAATTGAGATGCCAATTTAGAAATTCACAGTAACCTTTTCAAAATTTCAAATTTGATTCGCAGCATTTCAAGCATTTGATATCTAAATAAAGAATGTCAC